ATTTATTATTGTAATTTATTTTACAACTTTAAAAACTAATAATTAATATATAACAAATAATTTTATTTGTTAATTGAAATAATGAAATAAAATATTTATAATTAGAATTGAAATTCAATTTTACCTTATCACACATCGAATGTCAATAGAAAACTAGAAGAAGATCTCTCATTTAAAAAGGAATATCACGATGATATAAATCACTATTGTGCTTGCTAGTAAATATAGGTGGGCCTCAAGTTAGATAAAAAAAATTTCAAAATTGATTTTTTTTTTCATAATTTTTATTAATTTCGGATCGAATATCTGATAACATAGCAAATCAGATATGGATTTAACAATCAAATATCCATTATATTATCGGATCGGATAATTTTCTTATCGGATCAGATCGGATATAGGTAGATCCAATTCATATCCGATACATTTACAACCCTAAATAGAGTGTACCAAAACATAGTCAAAATGTCTAATGATAATAAAACCTAAAATTTGTAATTTTAGAAGATGACATAATTATTTATTTTGATTTTACCTTCAACAATGAATAGGTGTACAACATGATATACTATTGTTAGTCTAATTTTTATTATTGCAATTGGCATTATTAATTGGTATGAATTTGTTTCATATTGCCTAAATTCATTTATAATACATGGAAAGTATCCCTTTTTCTGTTTTTAGTGGGGCTAGTCAATGGTGGATCCAAGATTTTGAGTGAATATGGACAATCGTTGACAACCGCAATAATAACCAATGTCGTTAACTGAAATAACTTATATCGTAGTTCGAATTGTAAGTATGGGTATACGTCATTTACCAGTCTAATAATGCTTGACAAGTAACAATATGAAATTTGAAAAAGGGGTTCAATTATTTACTTACCTGTTTTGATTTGCTAATAATTTCAGTCCAAGAGAAAAAAATGATTATTTTAATAATCTCATTGTAAGGTCGAATTTTAATTAATTTTTTTAAAAACAAGAATATGCTTATTACTTGATAAAAGATCGTATAGAATTTTGTTATACTAAATGTCAAAATCCACCTAATGCCATAGTGGTCAAGTGTTTCATAATTTCAGTAGTCATCACAAGTTCAAATCTTCCAATTGCACCTGTTTTTATAAAGCCCATATACTCCAAAATTGTGAAGAATATTAAACTAAAATAATTTTAAAAGAGTTTGCTATAGTTGAGATTTGAACATTGAGAAACGCAAGATTTGACCCAACTACACATAGGGGGTGATTAGGTGTAAATGC